TGACCCTTCCCTTGTTCACTTGGCTTATGATCTCTTGTTTTTGCTTTATAATCATTCCTGATATTCAGATGAACAGGCAGAGTCCAGAAGAGAGAACTGCAGAAGGCAGTCACTCAGTTGCACCCTGCTATTACAGCCCAAGCTGAGATCTTGACATTTAAATTTGTGTATCATGATGAAGCAAAACAGCCTCCTGTAATATGCTGGCAGAGGTATGAGAAGTATAAAGCATGCTTCAAAATGGCATCTATAACGAGGGGGAAAATGAAGTAGGCACATGAGGTCTGGCAAATTAAAGTCTGAGACTATAGAAAACACTGTTTGAAAACAATTTCCAAAAGATAGTAAAGCTAACAATATTATTAATCCTTTTTTTTTTTTTTTTCCAAGTTGCAGAAGGAACATGAAGCCTGCTACAGAGACAGAAGATCATTAGGAAATGAGATTGGGAGTTCAGAGATCACTTTGAAACAACCCAGAATTAATATCTGCATCTGGCTACAGGTAAGAAGAACTTGGAGATGCTGGGCCCTGCTCTTTGTGAACAGAGAAGGGCTGGTGGGAGATGTGGTGGTTGGAGTCTGTCTTGGGCATAGTGGTCTTGAAAGGAGAGTTTTCAATTCTCCATTTTCCATTCAAGTATGGAATGGAGTCACAAAACTTTTACCTTGGACTTCCAGATTTTGGCCTGTTCAGGGTGCTGGTTGAGGCAGTGCCTTGGGAAGCAGTACTGAGGGGCAAGAACATCTGAAAGGCACAGGAACAGGCTAGCCCAATGTACCATAAGACAAGCCAGCAGGGAAGAAAGCTGGCCTGTGTGAACAGGGAGTTTCTGATTGAACTGAAGGGGAAAAAAAAATAAATAGATTACCAGCTTTGTAAGTAGGGGTAAGTTGCTCAGGAGAATTACAAGGCTGTCATTAAGTTATGCAGGGCGAAAGTCAGAAAGGCCAAGGGCCCAGCTAGAATTTAATCTGTCAAGTGCCACAAGAGATAACAATTTTTTTTTTTTCCAAATACATTAATAACATAGAGCCAAGGAGACTCTCCATCCTTTATTGCTTGTGAGGGGAAACATTGCCACCAAAGATGAGGGAAAGGCTGAGGTACTTGATGCTTTCATTCTTCCAGTCTTTAAATGAAAGACTAGTTATTATCAGGGTGTCAAGCCCCCTAAGCCAGAAGAAAGGGACAGGATGGCCCCCTTGTAATCCAGGAGGAGACAGTGACCTGCTGCTCCACTTAAAATTGCACAATCTGTGGCACCAGATGGGATCCACTCAAGGGGACTGAGGGAGAGGGTGGACGAGCTGCTCTCCATTTACTGGCACCCCTGGTGAACTACAGGAGCTCAGGACCTCTGAACAATGAACCAATAAGATTCCACAGAAGCCATTTATTGTTTATATTACGCATCTATTTATACATTCTAAAACTACTGTTCACACAATCATGCATCTTTTCATTGGTGCCCCTATCCTGGCCACACGCTCTGCACACACCCCTTGGGGCACAGGATTGGTTACAGTCCAGGTGTTCAACTGCCCTCTGTTATCTGACTCTTGTGGTCCTGCTTTCTTGTTTTTCAGCCTCTTCTTTCTTATTTTTAGAATAGCTTATATCTCAGCAACCTTGAGAAATTCTATAGGGTCTGATAATAAACTCTAAATGCAGCTTGGCTGGAGCACATCATGGCCCAAGCTGTTCAGATGCATTATTACAGTGAACTGGGGAAGTCCCAGAAGACTGAAGGCTAGCCAGTGTGACACCCGTCTACGAGAAGGCTGGAAGGAGGATCTGAAGAGCCACAAGCCCATGAGCCTGACCTTGATACCAAGGCAGGCTGTGGAACAAATCATATTGAGGATGGCCAGCCAGGGGGCCTGGCGCAGCCAGCACACATTCATGAGAGTCAGGTCCTGTTTAACAAACCCGATCCCACAAATTTCTGACTGTCCAAGTGTAACAGAATTACTGACCATTTTCCCTTCCTCTTGGGTTGCTGCTTATTGTATTCAGGGAAGGTGATTGAAATGTAATGATGTTGCCATGTCTGGCTACCTGATTTTCTGTTTGGGGTCATTTCTTAAGTCTATCATTGATATTATCTGTTGCAAATAACAGAGCCTGTAGATATTTTTTTCTGGACAGCTTCAGTGAGATGCCATCATATCTATGGTTGCTTTGTATACAGTGATCTGGGAATCAGCAGCTATCAAAGCTTCCATATCATTTCTTCCCACAATCTGTTTACTTTTTGTTGTAGAAACTTGCTGTGGCTTTCTTTTAATGCATCTTATCCCACAGAGTGTCTATCTATCATTTCATTACAGCTATACAAGAGGGTGTTTATACTTCTTTCTTTTATTTCAGGAGAAAACTTAGTTCTAAACCCATTGTAAGTGAATTGGATACTGCAGGGTTCATTCTGGAAAGGTGAAGTTGTGATAAATACAGAAGACATAGTTAAGAGACAAATGCCTTAAATGCCCTATGCCTTCAGCTGCAGTATTTTATTGATTTGATATACTACATTTACAATATTTGCTCTCCTCTTACCTCAAATTTTCACACATGCTTGGTCTGCCATCTTCTCAGAGTTCAAGAGGAAGGAGCTCTAAAGTTGTTGGTAAAATGCTAAAAACTAATTCCCCTAAATACTAGAGGAACTTGCTGGTGGATACATGCCTTGGTGTCTCTATGCCTATAAAGTCACATACTGAATGCTGCTATTGTCGAATCTCACCTCTTCTACTTTCATTAGTAATGTAAATCTGGAGAAAATTAGGATCTTCAGCTGTTTTTTGGTGGGTTCCCAAAGTACTCTATCAGGCTGCTTGTGATGGGTGATATTTATTGTTCCAGACTCTTAGCAGCTACCTAGGTATGCATCAGTACTTTGCTGGACCTTTTCTCCTCCTGTCTGTTTTTTGTTACCGAATTTGTAGCAAATTTACAAACAGCTCCTTAGGTGTTCTGCAGTTCCTATGTCGACACAGTTGCTTGAAAGGACATCACTAATCTCAAGGGTATTTGGTTTGTTCCACTGAAGACAACAGGGGCTGGTGCAAACACTTTTTCCAAGGCTAACTAGAGCTGTGTTGCTGTATTTGTGCTGGATGTACATTCAAACATAGCTTTTACAGTTATATAAAAGTGTGTATATGTATATTTATTTATGGTTATATATAGTTATATACTACCATAAAGTAGTTGAAGTCTTGATAAAAATACACAACAATGACAAGAGTAATAAAACAAAGAAAGAAGTGAAGCTTCTTTCTGAACTATATCATGGTGTACTTTCATTTAGCCCATGAAGCCTGGATGTTCATGACAAATTCTGGCTGATCTCTACCAGAGCTCCAGCCAGCCCCAGGCTCAACTCTTCCAGTGCTGGGTCCCTTGCTGCAAAAGCTGCCACTCTCTGCTTTGCTACCCCAACAGTACTTTTCTTAAATCCAGAAGGATATTTCTAGTGACCAGAACTGCATGAATGAAAGTTGGCTTGACCACACGAGGGCACAGCTATTGCTTGAAAATGTTGGGATCAACCAAAGCATCTTTCCCAGCTTAAGATGCAAAACCATCTCTAGCCAGTTTCTCTACGTGTTCTGAGGTGCAACGAAAATTACATTGCAAATCCATTTTAGTTAATAGTATATTACGTATCTAAAGATACACATATATTTGCTAATAGTTAGATCATCTCTTTGCACCTTCTTTCCTGTAATTTTCTTTCTAATTTGCAGGCCTATTCAGCTTCTTAGGCGAAATTTCCTAATTACATAGGTATAAGTTGTATCAATTAAATCCTAGAAGGGGAACAATAGTGAAGTCCTTATTGACATCCTCCATTTATATTCTGTTTTTGAAGCAACACTTGCACTTCTGCAATATGGACAACCATAGTTTTCCTGTAATCATCTGATCACCTCTGGCTATAACATTTGTTTGTATAGTAAGATTTTAGGCCTGGAATTTTTGAGACCTTCTGCAGAACTCATGCTCTAAGAATTACACAGTTCTAATGTAATTATGTAGGAACAATCCTAATAGTTTTCAGTGCAAAGTGAGAATATAACATTTCATTCTCTGACATCACTAAATTCATGCCCTTAAAAAATTTTTACAATTAATTTCTTCCTTTTTATAATATCACTCAATAAAGAATGTTTTTCTCATGAGGAATGATTTGCCAGGTTTCAGGGACTTCTGAATATCTGCTATTACAATTTGAAAGGTTAAGGATTGCAGGAATGCAGGATGCTTTTTTGGCTTCAAATTACTTTGCTTCATGCACAATTCATGTTATAGCATCAGTCAGTCATTCAATTATCATCTAGTTTGGGCTGTTCCCCTTTTTTGCTGTCTGTGATTTTGCTACCAAGGAAATATGAGTGAAGATAGTCATGTTGGGCAGGAAAGCACTTTGCTCAGGGCAGGGTGCACTAAAAGTAGGCGTGAGCATGTGCTCATCTAGCAGCAGCAGACTGGTGGCAGTACTTGCATGGTGGAGTTACGAGATCATCTGTGGTAGCAGCCCTGCATCTGCTTCCTTTCTTTCATCCCTTTTGGTTTTGGAACAAGGAATCCTTGATGATATTTCACTAACAGGGTTTAAATTGTACAGTGAGGCGCCTCTGAACATTTTGCAATTTTTTTTTGGGCACATTTTTTGTTTGCATTTTTCAAGCCCCATGTTGCTTAACATGGCTTTTAAATTTAATAAGCAAGGCCATGAAAATGAAAGGCAGCATTTTCATGGAAAGCACCTGGGCAGAAAAAAGCCTGGTGTCCTCGGGACCACAAGCTGACCAGGAGACCGTGGATGTCCCCACAGCCTGTGGAACATGCCCTGCAAGGTCATGGGGCATGATCTTTGCCTACCACCCAGCACTGGTGAGACACAGCTGGAGGGCCGATTCTGGAATCCCAGGATGAGGGAGGTGTGTCCGTACCGGAGCAAGGCCAGCAAAGGGCCACTGAGGTGAGAAGGGGACTGCAGCGCACGGTGCACGAGGAGAGGCTGGGAGAGCTCTGCTGGCTTTTCTTGGACTAGAGCAGGCTGGGCTGTGTGGTCAGGGTGTGCAAACACCTGACTGAAGGTGGGTGGGTAAAGGACACAAGCGACTCTGTTCAATGCAGCAATGGCAGGAAACCCAATGGGCACAAATTGAACCGTGGCAAGTTAGAATGAAAGGAATGGTGGTGAAACACTGGATCTGGTAGCCCAGAGCGGTTGTGGTGGAGTCCCTGTGCTGGTACAAGAGTTGTCCTGAGTCTGTCCATGGTGCTGCTGTACATGGAGGGATTTGGGGAGAGGAGAGGGGTCTGGGATGCTACAGAGCAAAATTTGTTTCAGGCAGCTGAGGAGGAACTGTGGTAAACTGTGGAACTCTAAATTTTGTGGCTGTACTGATAAAGGAGGGATTTATGACTGTACCAGTGTGTCTCATGCAAGGGAAGGTCTGCCACCCTTGATCACAGGGACAAGGGGGAACTGTCATAGAATGAGGGACACCTGAATGTGGCAGTCCTTCAATGAGGTCCCTGGCATATGAGGGGGTATTCCCTAGTGAACGAGTAAAGTATTAGGTAAGAGAGTGTATTTCCAAGGGGGTGTTCTGTACTTAGGGCTCGGGGTGGGAGCAGGCAGCTCTATGGAAGGATCAGCTCAGTTATTGTGGCAGTCCCAGGGGCAGGTTGAGTGCTGGGAATTCTTAGCAATGGAGGAAAAAAACCCCGATCCATTTACCTACCACTCTAAAGCTTAAAGGATAGTAACAGTGAGGTTTCAATTTCCTCCTTTTTATTTAAATTACTTTTTAACTAACTGGTTTGTTCACAGTACATCTGTGTGACCTTTGCATCAGCTACTCACTACAGATGAATGATGTCACATCCTCTACATTTTATTTCCTCCATTTACTCACTGTTCCTTTTCAGAAGAAGGGGTTGCCAAACCATAGAGTTGCCGGCATCCTCACAGACTTTAATTTCTTAAATGTTTTTTCAGCTGGACAGGGCATCTTGAAAAAGATGGGAGAGGTGAGTTTTCTGCATTCTCTTCAGCACTGGCTCTGTTCTGCCAAATCTGTCCCCCTTTGCCTTCAACAGCTTAAGAAATTATTACAGGGTTAACCCCGCTGTGATGTGGAGGGTGTGGATTGTAAAGGGTTTGTAAAAAGCAAGGTGAGCTGGGTTTTGCTGCCTGCATCACGGGCATTTCTGTGTGGGAGGAGAAAACCTTCAGGGGATCCAGAGCTGATCATTTGTGTATCGACTGCCTCTCCTCTGTCCTCAAGTCCCAGTGCCTCTAACAAGCCTTTTTCTGGCACATGAGAAGTGCCATATGTGACTGAGGCTCAGTAATCACGGGAGAACTGACAAATGGGATTGTGCCAGCTGGGTTTTCTGTCTTGTTCCCTGCTTGTTTGCTTTCCTCCTGCCAGAGTTTTTGCACATGTGTCTCACGTTCAGAAAGACAGGAAGTCCTAGAGCTTAACAGAAGAGGTCTCTAATAGAGTTTGCTGAGCTTGTTGTGCACTACTATGAAGGTGGGACACAATTCTGAAGTAAGGCTCATACTTTGCTGCCTCATCTGTCAGGTTTTTTTCTTTCCTTTCCTCCAGGCTGTCATAGGAGAGTAAGCTATGGCTGGAGAGAGAATGCTCAGGATGCCCAGCTGCCTCCTAAAGCCCACCAGGGTCATGCTGAGCCACAAGCCCTGGGCCCTGTTTATCCTCATCTTTGTGTTTGTATCCTTTGCATACATCAAGTTGTATTCGAATATCTGGGAGGACCCAAAGAGCAGAGGCCCCCCCTACGGCTTGTCTGCTGAAATCAGCTGTGCTCACTATGTGCCTTCTTCCCTCAACATTGCTGGTGGGCCCTCTCCTTCTACAGGAAGTGTGTTTTTTGTGGAGACCTCAGAGCAAACTACCCCAAGTTACCTCTTCTCATGCTCTGTGGAGTCAGCAGCCAGGGCACACCCCGCATCAAGAGTTGTGGTGCTCATGAAAGGCTTGGCCAAAGAGAATGCCTCCTTACCCAAGCACTGGGCTTTCTCCTTGATGAGCTGCTTCCCCAACGTGGAAATCCAGCCCCTGGACTTGACAGACCTCTTTTCTGGAACACCTCTAAAAAGGTGGTACATGTGGCCTCTACGCCACTGGGAGCCTCATTTTTTACCTGTCCTCTCTGATGCCTGCAGGATTGTCCTCATGTGGAAATTTGGTGGCATCTACCTGGATACAGATTTCATTGTGCTTAAGGACTTACAGAACCTCACCGATGCACTCGGGATTCAGGATGACGATGAACTGAATGGGGCCTTCCTGTCCTTTAAGCCCAAACACAAGTTCATGGAGCTTTGCATGGAGGACTTTGTGCAGAATTACAATGGCTGGGTCTGGGGCCACCAGGGCCCAAAGCTCCTAACTCGTGTCTTCAAGAAGTGGTGCTCCATCCAGACTATCAAGAGCATGAGCTGCAAAGGTGTGAGTGCTCTTGCCCCAGAAGTTGTTTATCCCATTCCTTGGCAGGACTGGAAGAAATTGTTTGAGCCAGTCAGTGCCTTGGAGCTTCGCAAACTCCTGAAGAACACCTATGCAGTGCACGTATGGAACAAACTGAGCCATGGCACCAAGTTAGAGATCCCCTCCCAGGCTCTGCTGGCTCAGCTCTATTCCCAGTTCTGCCCTGCCACCTACACAAAGATGAAACAGGACTCTGAAGAGTTATCAAGGCATGCAGTGTGACCTGAGGGCCCTTGGCTGCAGAGATGTTCACCAGACTGAAGGAAACCGAGTGCCTTTGACATTCTCCAGAGTTGGTTTCTAGATCCCAGAGCAGGTGTTCTGTGTGACAGCTCTGTGGTTTTGTACCATTTCTGATCTCTGCCTCCGATCCTTTGAGTTTCAAATTTACAGCAGAACCTGAGTTCAGCCTCTCTTCTGCTGTCCCTCAGGAGACCTCTTGCTGCAAGGGAGGTTGAACTTGTTCTTCAGCATCCCTCAGCTGGTCCTCTCTTGGTTTTCTCCAATGGCTCCTCCTGTGGATCCCGGCCTGAGCAGCCCCTTGTGATGTTTCAGGAGCTGTAAGGACCCTTGGCTTGCTCTCTGTGGCATTTCTCAGCTTGTAAACCACTGCCAGTAGGTGCCAAAGGGCACAGTTTGCTGGAGCTCAGAACAGAACTCCCTGGCTGGCAAGGATCCTTTATGCCTTGAGAAATACATGAAGAGGATATGCAAATTGCAGGATTTAAAATCCCTGCACCTCTCAGTGTGAAATTCTTCTTAACTTCTAAAGTGAGAAAAGTTGAAATGGTGTTTCCTAGTGTTTCCAGTTCCGCAGCAGTGGGATGACTTTTTTGGGACTCCTCAGAAAAACAAGTAGACAAAAGCAGTTCATTTAGGAGTGGAAATTATAAAGTGTTTTGCTCTGCTGATGTAATTCTTGTAGGATACCAACGTCTAACCAGCCATTGTCACATTCTGAAGAGTCTCAGCATTGCCTGTTTCTGCAGTGCTGTGAAGAGGATATGTCCCTGTGATTGGAATATGGAGCCCATTGTGGAAGTCCAGAGGATAACATGTCCATATCAACAGAAGGAACAGGTGCAGGATTTAGAGCTGTGCCCCAGGGACAAAAATAAAAACTCAGAAGCGCCTGAAGGTTGGAAAAGACCTCCAAGATCATTGAGTCCAACCTTCAGTTCCAGTATCATCATGCTCAGTGGCCTTTATCCCATGTGTACTCATTTTCTGGAGTGCTTCCAGGGAAGGTGACTCCACCACTTCCCTGGGGAGCCAGTGGCACACAGTGCTTATGCACTCTGAATTTATTTCCTCGTATCCAAGTTGAACCTACCGTGTTGCAGGGAGTGCTGCAGCCAGGCCACAGCAGGGACACCAAGGGCATCAGAGGGATGGAGCAGCTCTGCTGGGAGGAAAGGCTGAGGGAACAATTGGGATTGTTCAGCCTGGGGAAGAGAAGGCTTTGGGGTGCCTCAAGGGAACGCACAGGAAAGATGGAGAGAGACTCTAGACAAGAGCCTGGAGTGATAGGACATGGGGGAATGGCTTCACACTGACAGAGAGCAGGTTTAGATTGGATATCAAGCAGAAATTGTTCCCTGTGAGGGTGGTGAGGCCCTGGCACAGGTTACTGCGAGCAGCTGTGGCTGCCCCATCCGTGGCAGTGTCCAGAATCAGGTTGGGTGGGGCCTGGAGCAACCCGGGATAGTGGAAGGTGTCCCTGCCCATGGCAGGAGGAGTGGAACAAGATGATCTTTGATGTCCTTTCCAACCCAAATTATTCTACTGATAGCGGTGCTGAAATGATTCGATTAATTTCCGCTCATTCTGTCCCTTGTTCCTTGGGAGCAGAGCCTCCTCTCCACCTGGCTGCACCCTCAGGTGTTTTGGACTCCTCAGGGAGTTTTGGAGAGCAATAAGGCTCCCCTGAGCCTCCTTTTCCTCCAGGTTAAACACCCCCAGCTCCCACAGCCGCTCCTCATCAGACTTGTGCTCCAGCCCCTTGCCCAGCTCCAGCCCCTCAATGTCCACGTTGCAGTGACAGGCCCACAGCTGGACACAGCACTGGACACACCTCACATTGGTGAGGCCTCGCCAGTGCCCACAACAGGGGGACAGTCACTGCCCTGGTCCTGCTGGCCACACCATTGCTGACCCAGCCCAGATGCCATTGGCCTTCTTGCCCACCTGGGCACGCACTATGGACCAGCAGGGCCAGGCCCTTTCCTGCTGGCTCTTCCCAGCCACTCTTCCCCAGCCTGGAGCTGCTGGGAGTTGTGACCCAGGGGCAGTAGCCCCAGCACTTGGCCTTGTTGTACCTCAAAGATATGAAATAGGACTGGCCCTGACAGTGGGCCCTGGGTACAGCCCCGGTGACCTGCTGCCAGCTGGATTAATTCCACCACCACTCCCTGGGCCTGGCCATCTGGGCAGTGTTTTCCCAGCAAATGGGGAACCTGTTAAATCCATGGGCTGCAAGGACAATGCTCTCCAGGAGAACGCTGTGGGAGCAGAAATCAAAGGCTTTACTGAAGGTCCAGGTACACAACGTCCACAGCCTTTCCCCATCCATTAGGTGTTCACAGAAGGAGGTTGGGTCAGTGAAACAGGACCTGCTTAAACCCATGCTGGCTGGGCCTGATGCCCTAATGCTGCAGCACACATTGTGTGATTGCACTCCAGGTAATCTGTTCCATACCCTTCCCTGGCACCAAGGCCAGGCTGCCAGGCCTGTGGTTCCCCCCCTTGTCCTTCCAAGCCTTCTCACAGATGGGTGTCACCTTGGCCAACCTCCCATCACCCAAGAGCTCTCCAGTTAACCAGTCCTGGTTAAATGCTGATAAATGATGGAGAGAGGAGCTTTGTGAGCTGCTTCACCATTTCCATCCATAGCCTTAGGAGGAAGGATGACATCTCCCTAGACTTGTGCATGTCAGGGCAGCACAGCATGCTCACTAACAACTCACTAACAGCTTCTTCCTGCAGTGTGGGGACTTTTTTCTGCTCCCTGTTTCTTCTGTCTTCCAGCTCAGGGGGCTGGATATGCCAAGGGTAACTTGGCTTTTGGTTAAAGGCTGAGATAAAGAAGGCATTGAGTACCTGAGCCTTTTCCTCATCCCTGGAGGTCATGTTCCCACCCCAGCATGAAATAAAGGATGGAGAATCTCCTTAGCCTCTTTTTGTTATTAATGCATTTGGAAAAGTATTTTTTGGAACTTTTTCGCTGGTGGCCATATTGACTAGCTGGACTTCTACCTTTCTTGTTTTCTCTCTGATTAACTCCATGACATCCTTGTAGGCTTCCTGAGTTGCCGGACCCTTCTTCCAGAGCTCTCAGTTCTTCCCTGAGTCCCAGCAGAAAAAGCCTGCTGTTCATCCAGGCCAGCCTACCCTGAACCTGCTCACAGCACGTTGGAATGGGCTCCTGCTCCACCTGTATGACCTCCTTCTGGAGGCATGTCCAGCCTTCCCGGGCTCCTTGGCCACTCAGGACTGCCTCCCAAGGGATTCTCTCAACCAGTGGTCAGAACAGACCAAAGCCTGTCCTCCACAAGTCAAAGGCAGTGGTTTTGCTGCCCCCCTCCCTCCCTTCATTGAGAACTGAAATGGAATCATGTCACAGTCACTGTATCCGAGGTGGCCTTTGGCAGCCCCATCTCCCACCAGTGCTCCTCTGTTTGCAAACAGCAGATGCCCTGGGGAGGGCTTGCCTACCAGCTGCGTTAGGAAGATCTCTTCCACATGCTCCAGGAACCTCCTGGACTTCTGGTCTCCTGTCTGTTGGGTGGGATTCCAGCAGACACCTGGTAAGCTGAAGATGTCACTGAGGATGTTGGCAGTGATAGATGTGGGTTCATCCTCTACCCCTAATGCAAATCTCTGCCCAGCACTGGTGAGACACAGCTGGAGGGCCGATTCTGGAATCCCAGGATGAGGGAGGTGTGTCCATACCGGAGCAAGGCCAGCAAAGGGCCACTGAGGTGAGAAGGGGACTGCAGCGCACGGTGCACGAGGAGAGGCTGGGAGAGCTCTGCTGGCTTTTCTTGGACTAGAGCAGGCTGGGCTGTGTGGTCAGGGTGTGCAAACACCTGACTGAAGGTGGGTGGGTAAAGGACACAAGCGACTCTGTTCAATGCAGCAATGGCAGGAAACCCAATGGGCACAAATTGAACCGTGGCAAGTTAGAATGAAAGGAATGGTGGTGAAACACTGGATCTGGTAGCCCAGAGCGGTTGTGGTGGAGTCCCTGTGCTGGTACAAGAGTTGTCCTGAGTCTGTCCATGGTGCTGCTGTACATGGAGGGATTTGGGGAGAGGAGAGGGGTCTGGGATGCTACAGAGCAAAATTTGTTTCAGGCAGCTGAGGAGGAACTGTGGTAAACTGTGGAACTCTAAATTTTGTGGCTGTACTGATAAAGGAGGGATTTATGACTGTACCAGTGTGTCTCATGCAAGGGAAGGTCTGCCACCCTTGATCACAGGGACAAGGGGGAACTGTCATAGAATGAGGGACACCTGAATGTGGCAGTCCTTCAATGAGGTCCCTGGCATATGAGGGGGTATTCCCTAGTGAACGAGTAAAGTATTAGGTAAGAGAGTGTATTTCCAAGGGGGTGTTCTGTACTTAGGGCTCAGGGTGGGAGCAGGCAGCTCTATGGAAGGATCAGCTCAGTTATTGTGGGAGCCCCAGGGGCAGGATGAGTGCTGGGAATTCTTAGCAATGGAGGAAAAAAAACCCGATCCATTTACCTACCACTCTAAAGCTTAAAGGATAGTAACAGTGAGGTTTCAATTTCCTCCTTTTTACTTAAATTACTTTTTAACTAACTGGTTTGTTCACAATGCATCTGTGTGACCTTTGCATCAGCTACTGACTAGATAAATGGCGTTGCATCACCCTCTTCTATTTTAACCTTGTGTTTCTACTGCATGTACTCACTGTTCCTTTTCAGAAGAAGGGGTTGCCAAACCATAGAGTTGCCGGCATCCTCACAGACTTTAATTTCTTAAACGTTTTTTCAGCTGGACAGGGCATCTTGAAAAAGATGGGAGAGGTGAGTTTTCTGCATTCTCTTCAGCACTGGCACTGTTCTGCCAAATCTGTCCCCCTTTGCCTTCAACAGCTTAAGAAATTATTACAGGGTTAACCCCGCTGTGATGTGGAGGGTGTGGATTGTAAAGGGTTTGTAAAAAGCAAGGTGAGCTGGGTTTTGCTGCCTGCATCACTGGCAGCACACGCTGGCATTTCTGTGCAGGAGGAGAAAACCTTCTGGGGATCCAGAGCTGATCACTTGCATATCGACTGCCTCTCCTCTGTCCCCCAGTACCTGGTGCAGAGTGGTGGCTCCGTGTTCTGACATTTGGATGCCTCCCAGTGTGGCTGGGAAGTCGTTTTTAGCCACAGGGGAGCTCCGTGTGTAACCCAGACACAGTGATCAAGCGGCAGTGACAAATGGGACTGTGCCAGCTGAGTCCTCTGTCACGTTCTCTGCAACTTTGCTTACAGCTGCTGCATTAAAGCTTCTCCTGTTTCCTGAACCTTTCTGTCCTGGAGCGTGGGGCTTTGGAGATGGATCCCATGGAGGGAGGAGAAATGATGGTATCCTTAGGAAGGAAGAGATCTTTGAGATGCTTAAGTTCAACCCCAAAGCCCACTCTGCCAAGTCCACTACTAAACCAAGTTCCACACCTTGGAACTTGTAAGTGCCACGCCTACGCATCTGTTAAATACCTCCAAGGGCCAGTGGCTCCAGCGCTTTCTTGGGTAGCCTGTGCTGGCACCTGATAACTCTTCCAGGGAACAAAATTCTGAGTAATGTCCATTCTAACCTGCCTTGGCAAAACTTGAGAGCATTTCCTCTGGTCCTAAAAGCCACAGCCTTCCTCACTCTTCTTCACGTGCTCTTGCCTGTTGACCTCTGGAGCCTGGTGGTGGGCACAGGAGGTGCTGCTTCTGCTGCCCTTCACTTTACGGAGCGGCACGGGCAGCAATGCTGATGCTAACGCTGAGGATGGAGCTAGACTGACTTATCTATTTGTTGCTGCCCTGTTAATAATCTCTTCCACTCCATCCCTCCCTTTTGGCAGAAGGGAAGGAGTAAGGGCAGGAGTGTGGAAGGATTGCCTATCCACCAGCAGGATGCACTGGGAGAGCTGAGCAGGTCAGAGCCAGCGTGACCTGTGCAAGGTTGGGTAGCAGCCTAGGAAGTCCCTTTACAAAGGTAGTTCTTGACCTTATTGTCTGCATCTGCCTCCAGAGCAATGCCCTGTATCCATTCCTTTCCCACCCTCCGTCCATCCTGCCTGGCTACGGTGCCATGATCAATGGGCTGAGCCCCACTGCAGGGACAGGTGGCTGGTTTGGAAATGCCTTTCCAAACTGACAGGTCAACAGCCTGGAAGACTGAGGCTTGTGTTTGGTTTGGGGGAAGGACACGTTGTGTATCAGGAGAAAACAACTCCCCTCATAACAACCAGCTCTCACTGGGCAGCAGCTCCACACAGTGTCTATTGACAGGGCTTCAGGAATGGTCATAAGGAACGTTCCTATTTCCTCCTGCCAGGGACTTTGTGTACAAGTCTCATGTCTCGTGGTCACAGTGACCTGAAGTACTAGAGGGTGACACATGAGGTTTCTGATAGTATTCCCAGAGTTTGTTGTGCACTGCTATGAAGGTGGAACACACCTGTGAAGGAAGCTCATACTCTGCTGCCTCGTCTGTCAGGTTTCTTTTCTTCTTTCCTTCCCTCCAGATCATGATGGCTGTCTCAGGAGAGCAAGCTATGGCTGGAGAGAGAATGCTCAGGATGCCCAGCTGCCTCCTAAAGCCCACCAGGGTCATGCTGAGCCACAAGCCCTGGGCCCTGTTTATCCTCATCTTTGTGTTTGTATCCTTTGCCTACCACAAGTTGTACTGGGGCATCTGGGAGGACCCAAAGAGCAGAGGCCCCCCCTACGGCTTGTCTGCTGAAATCAGCTGTGCTCACTATGTGCCTTCTTCCCTCAACATTGCTGGTGGGCCCTCTCCTTCTACAGGAAGTGTGTTTTTTGTGGAGACCTCAGAGCAAACTACCCCAAGTTACCTCTTCTCATGCTCTGTGGAGTCAGCAGCCAGGGCACACCCCACATCAAGAGTTGTGGTGCTCATGAAAGGCTTGGCCAAAGAGAATGCCTCCTTACCCAAGCACTGGGCTTTCTCCTTGATGAGCTGCTTCCCCAACGTGGAAATCCAGCCCCTGGACTTGACAGACCTCTTTTCTGGAACACCACTGGCACAATGGTACTTGCAGCCTCAGAGACAGCAGGAGCCTCATTTTTTACATGTCCTTTCTGATGCCTGCAGGATTGTCCTCATGTGGAAATTTGGTGGCATCTACCTGGATACAGATTTCATTGTGCTTAAGGACTTACAGAACCTCACCGATGCACTCGGGATTCAGGATGACGATGAACTGAATGGGGCCTTCCTGTCCTTTAAGCCCAAACACAAGTTCATGGAGCTTTGCATGGAGGACTTTGTGCAGAATTACAATGGCTGGGTCTGGGGCCACCAGGGCCCAGAGCTCCTAACTCGTGTCTTCAAGAAGTGGTGCTCCATCCAGACTATCAAGAGCATGAGCTGCAAAGGTGTGAGTGCTCTTGCCCCAGAAGTTGTTTATCCCATTCCTTGGCAGGACTGGAAGAAATTGTTTGAGCCAGTCAGTGCCTTGGAGCTTCGCAAACTCCTGAAGAACACCTATGCAGTGCTCGTATGGAACAAACTGAGCCATGGCACCAAGTTAGAGATCCCCTCCCAGGCTCTGCTGGCTCAGCTCTATTCCCAGTTCTGCCCTGCCACCTACACAAAGATGAAACAGGACTCTGAAGAGTTATCAAGGCATGCAGTGTGACCTGAGGGCCCTTGGCTGCAGAGATGTTCACCAGACTGAAGGAAACCGAGTGCCTTTGACATTCTCCAGAGTTGGTTTCTAGATCCCAGAGCAGGTGTTCTGTGTGACAGCTCTGTGGTTTTGTACCATTTCTGATCTCTGCCTCCGATCCTTTGAGTTTCAAATTTACAGCAGAACCTGAGTTCAGCCTCTCTTCTGCTGTCCCTCAGGAGACCTCTTGCTGCAAGGGAGGTTGAACTTGTTCTTCAGCATCCCTCAGCTGGTCCTCTCTTGGTTTTCTCCAATGGCTCCTCCTGTGGATCCCGGCCTGAGCAGCCCCTTGTGATGTTTCAGGAGCTGTAAGGACCCTTGGCTTGCTCTTTGTGGCATTTTTAATTTTCACAGAATATTCTGTGTTGGAAGGGACCCACAACCATCCTAGACCTCACCCCTGGCCCTGCTAGGGGGTAAGACACTCCAACGATCATGATCTGCACGAGATTGTTATCCTTGGGGCCATGACTAATCTGTGGGGAGCCTGTTCAGTTCCCCACCACCCATCTGGGGGAGGAACTTTTTCCTGATATCCACCCTATCTCTCCCTTGACCCAGCTCCTTCCATTCCTTCAGGTCCTGTCCCTGGTCACACAGAGCAGTGATCAGGGCCTGTCCCTCCTCTTCCCCTCGTGAGGAAGCTGCAGAACTGCAGTGAGGTCTGACCTCAGTCTGCTCTTCCCCAGATGAACAGACCAAGTGCCCTCAGCTGCTCCTCCTGTGTGGCTTCACCTCCAGACCTTTTACCACCTCTGTAACCCTAATTTCAATGCTCTCTAACAGCTTCAGATTATTCTTGTAGTGCAGCACCTAAAACAACACACAATATTCAAGGTGAGGCCGTCCCTGCCCCGAGTAGAGCGGGACAATCCCCTTGCTGGCCTGGTTGGTGATGCAGGCCTGGTGCCCTCAGGATAGGCATGACCCACCTGGCTGCCAGGACACTGGCTCATGTCCAGCTGGCCATCGACCAGGACAGGACCCCAGGTCTCTTTACACAGCACTGCTCTCCAACCTCATTCCCCAGCCTGTCTGTACATCCAGGGCTGTCCCATCCCAGGTGCAGAATCCAGCCCTTGTCTTTGTTAAACTTTGCACAGTTGGTGATTGCCCAGCCCTGTCATTGATACAGGGCTCTCTGCAGGGCCTCTTCACACTTAAGGCAGACAACAGCTCCTCTCCTTTTGTATCATCAGCAAGCTTACTTAGTATGGCACCCTGTGGAGCCCCACAAACTACAGGCTACCAGTCTACTGTCACCCTAGTTACTGTAATTCTTTGTGCTTGACCCTTGCCCATCACACAATGTGTTTATCCAGCTGTGGGCTGCACACTGAGATAGATGATGTCCAAAGCCTTACTGAAATCCAAAAAGATTACATCTACTAATGTTTTTTGATCAACTGGGTTACCTTAGCATAAAAGGAAATTAGTTTCGATAAGCAGGACTTTGCTGTCATGAAGATGTGCTGGCTGTGACCAATGATTGTGTTGTCCTTCAGGTTTCTCAATACATCCCAGAATAATCATCATCATCTCCATAATTTTACCAGGCACTGGAGTGAGACTGACAGGCCTGTAGCTTCCAGGGTCATCCTTCTTGCCCACTTTGAAAACTGGGACCTCTCCAGATTCCCCAAACTGTTCAAAAATTATCAAGAGATGCCTCGTGATGGTATCAGCCAGCTCTTTATGTATTCTCACATTAATCCCATCACACACCATAGATTTACAGGCATCCAGCTAGAGCAGTAGATCCCTCACACCTTCAGGGCTAACTCAATTATTCTCACAGTCACAGTCCTGTAGCTCAGGGTGCTGGGACCTCCTTAGTTCATCATCAGTGTTGAAGACAGATGCAAAGAAAGCATTAAACATGTCTACCTTGTCCATAGCCCTGTTTGTGAAGTGACCATCCTCATCCTGTAATGGGCTGATATCATTTCAGCACTGCCTTTTGCCATTAATGTATTTTTAAAACCCTCTTTTTATTATGCCCCACATTCCTAGTGGCTTCAATTGCAATGGAGCTTTGGCCACACAAATTCTCCCCCTACAGTGGTGAGCAGCATCTCTGTATTACTTCCACATCACCTGACCTTGCTTTCACTGGGCATACACCTTACCTTTTTTACCTTAGCTACAAAAGAAGATCCCTCTTCAGCCAAAGTGGCATTCTGCCTCATCTTCTTGATTTCTGATTTTAAGGAATTGCTTGTTCCTGTGCCCTCAGGAGCTGATGCTTAAAAAGTGACCAGCACTGATGGACCCCAGGACCTTCAAAAGCATTTTCCCAGGGGACTTTACTTACTGGTTCCCTGAGTGGCCTGAAGTCTGATCTTTTCACGTCCAGGGTTGCACCAGAGATTTTAAACTTGATGGCTTCATGGTCACAGTGGCAAGACAACCACCAATCTCCACTCAAGAGGATAACAAGATCCTCTCTGTTGATAAGCAAAAAATCCAGGAGGGCTCTTAGTACCTGTATCATGAACTTGTCATCCAGGTGTTACAGGAATACATAGGGAATATATGAAAATTGTGTTAAGTAACAGAAAATATTTTAAGGCCCACTGTGGATCTAATGACCATCTCCCCACCTAAATGTGTTCCCTGTGTGTCCAGGTCATTGTATTGTAATAATGCATTTGAAATTAACCTCTTATGAAACGAGAAAAGGAGACTAAAACATCCTGGAGTTCTGCTTGTGCCAAATCAGGCTTCTGTCTGGAAGGTAAAGTGTAAGCAATGTGTGTTTATTGCTCTTTTAGATGTGCAGTGACTAACAAATATGAGAAATATGTATATAAACTTTAATACCTTTTTCCTAAATGTTATAATTTGCTGAAAAATACGTGCACAAGAGAAGACTGATGTAATTTAGATGTAGATTTAATGTGAACTGGAGTATGTTTCATGGTTTCTCAGTGTCACAGCACACTACTGATTAAACATTCCATTGCAGACCAAAAGAGACAGAGTCATCAATTTTTACTTGAAATGAGTTGTATAAAACAACATATTAACTTCGCTGTCTTGTCCTGTCCACCCCTCCATCCATTCCTCCCCTCTCCACCACTCCTTCTTTCCCCCAGTTTAAAAAAAAGTTTCCTGCTCACTCCACTACTCTTCATTAGTAGTGCTGAGCAGTACTGGATATGCTGTTCCAATGTGGTGCCCACGGTGCCAGACAGCCATCTGTAGCTCTTGACTGTTTCACATGTGGCTCTTTCTTCAGATAGCAAGAAAATGACCGTGTGAAGGGCAAATTTGAACTCTGGGCTGACACCAATAAAGGTGCTTCCAATTGGCTTGACTGAGCCCTTCCAGCCAAACTGGATGCTCAAAACTTGGTCATCTTTGTCAGGCTGAAAGCATAAATGAAACAACAATAATCTCCAACACAGCTGTGATGGGGCAGATAGAATTTATGATTCCAGATTTTTGAGAGCTTTTTAAGATTCAGATATCCTTGATGTACCTGGGTGATATAGCTGGAGTACAATATTTTTCCTGAATTCTGGAGCATATGTGATCATTTATCCCAACTTAGCCTTAGCAGTATTGCAGTTCTGTAAACAGCAGCACTACTTTTTAAAATAGTTTTTTCAAGAAAAGAAGCTGGAAGACATGTTATTATTCATTCTTACATACAGTTATGTACTGTATATACTTATTACTGTTCAAAACACTGAGCCTGTGATTGCATCATTAAACTTGTTTCATTACAACTTTTATCTCTGGATCCATTTGTCTTACTTGCAGAGGCTGCCAAAGGCTTGTTCTTCTCCTGATTTTCTTCTTCCAAGCCACATCCCTTGTAATCAGTCTGGTTGCACTTTTCCTAAAGGTAAAATTGCACCCAGTTGTGGAAACCTAAGATCTCTTTACCATGCCTTGTTTCTTCAACAAAAACATGTTCAAAACCACAAGAATCAGGTCTGTAATGAAGAAGAAAAAAAGAAAAAAGAATATATAGGTCTTTTATATGTTTCATAGAGCCATAGAATGGTTTGGGTTGAAAGGAATGTTGAAGTTCCTCTCATTCCAATCCCCTGCCATGGACAGGGACACCTTCCACTATCCCAGCTTGCTCAGAGCCCCATTCAACCTGGCTCTGGACACTTCCAGGGATGGGGCAGCTACAGCTTCTCTGGGCAACCTGTGCCAGGGCCTCACCACCCTCACAGGGAACAATTTCTTCCTCATACCCAATCTAAACCCATTCTCTGTCAGTCTGAAGCCATTCTGAAGCTGTGTTTCTGTTCTGTGTGTAACAGATGGTACTTGGGCTTATATTTATCTATATCAAAATAGCACAGAGATTATCAGTGCCCATACCCATCAAACATACCTGTCTCCTTCTTTCCTGGCAGAGTTGGAACTAGATGTCATAAAGCTGATGTTTGAAATCAGCAAGGTTTGGCTTTGCTGGTTTTTTCGGCAGATAGTCATGAGCTAGCTGAAGGATAGAAAACCAAGATACATACACAATTTACTTTTTTATTCAGTGTTTTCAGTGACAAAAAATATCTGTGTTACTCACTCTCATGACTTCTGTTGCTAAGATGGCATCAAGGAAACAATTGTTTTCAACTATTTGTTCTGGAGTCACTACTTCTGCTACACCAGTTTATGTCTTACAGTTGTCCAATAAGGAAATAAAGGTTGCAGAAAAAGAGAAACTTTCAGTCTGCTCATATGCCTGATCCAAGCATTAGAGTGCCATCATAAAAAGTCACCATAGAATACACCATGACAGCCCTTAGAGAAAGCCATTCCTTTATATGTCAGATTCTACTCTGAGGTATACTGTTAAGAGTAGGCCTCAAGGTGACTCAAGGCCAGATCACTGCTGCACTTTTTAAAGATCTTTTTAAAGAAAACCGGCTACTGAGCTTCCTTATGGAGCCAGGTGCTGAAGTAATAATGGCCTTCTACCAAAACAAATCACATCTGCCCACCACAATTACAGATAACAGGATTAGGACCTTGAGCTATGCTGGCAAAAGGTTTTGTGGGCGTTATTTCAGAAGAGTAATAATAGAGCATAGACCTTTATCAGATGTCTTGAGCTTGAGAAAAATTAGGGAAGGAAACATACATTCATAGACATGGCTGAAGTATAGCACCCAAAAGAAATGCAAGACCTAGCTGTGTGTCTAGTCCTATCTGAAAGGGCTTGGAAGCTGTGAGTAAAGGAGTTAAGATGAATTTGGTGTCTTTTTCAATACATAGAATTATAGGATGGTTTGAGTTGGAAGAGACCTTAAAGATCATCCAGTTCAAACTCCCTGCCATGGGCAGGAACACCTTCCACTATCCCAGGTTGCTCAGAGTCCCATCCAACCTGGCCTTGGACACTGCCAGCAATGGGGCAGCCACAGCTTCTCTGGACAAACTGTTCACCAGTGTGTTTCAACTGCCCCCACAGGAAACAATTTCTTTCTAAACTCTGATCTTAACCTGCTCTCCGCCAGTGTAAGCCCATTCCCCCTTGTCCTGTCACTCCAGGCCCTTGTCAAGAGTCTCTCTCCATCTTTCCTGTGGGTTCCCTTCAGGCACTGCAAGGCCACAATGAGGTCACCCCAAAGCCTTCTCTTCCCTAGGCTGAACAATCCCAATTGTTCCCTCAGCCTTTCCTCCCAGCAGAGCTGCTCCATCCCTCTGATGCCCTTGGTGTCCCTGCTGTGGCCTGGCTGCAGCAGCTCCCTGTCCTTCCTGTGCTGGGCCCAGGGCTGGATGCAGCCCTGCAGGGGGGGCTCAGCAGAGCCGGGCAGAGGGGCAGAATCCCCCTTCCCTGCTGCCCTGGGGCTCTGGGTGCAGCCAGGGGGGTTCTGAGTTGGGGCATGTCCAGCTCTCACCCACAGTACCCCCAGATCCTTCTCCCAGGGCTGCTCCCTCTGCCCATTCCCAGCCTCGATTGTTCCCAGGGGTTGTCCTGACCCAGGTGCAGCAGCAGCACTTGGTGTGGTTAAACGTTGTGAGATTCTGTTGAGCTGCTACTCGAGCTTGTGGTGTCTCATCCCCTTTACTTTGCAGTAGAAGAGCCAGAGAATTCAGATTTTGCCTAAGGCACAAAATGATGTTACTCCTGAGGCTCAGGTACAGGTAATCTCAAAGCAACTGTTACGAAAACCTGCAGCCTGATGATCCTCACCACCATCCAAATGATATGCAATGTTATGTTTTAGGCAAACACATCAAAAAACAGCACAATTTTTTTTTTTTATATCACTTCCAGTCTTAACAAAAGAACAGGTCTCACTTGCAAAAGTTTTTATACTCCTCAGGCATTCTTCATTTACATTGTGAAACAGATGTCTGGCTGCATTGTCCTAGACAGCACTGTCACCTTGCTGTGCTGGACCTGCTTTTCCCTAGGAAAAAACACCAGAGGAAAGCAATGTAAGGAGTAAGATGTCTGTCCTTAGATAAGACAGTGCCCGCCATTGTAATAATCAAACCAAACCACATAATGCTATCAGGATTCTTTGCTAGGAATTTTCTTCCTATGAAACAAGAGAAGATATTACAGAACTGCCAGCATAAAGAAAAAAGACAATCTCTGACAACTGTAAGAGCCTGTAATTTCTCTATTGATTTGGAGATGATTGTAATGGCCCATGTGACAGTCCATTTCTGCTCAGTAACCAGCTGTGCTATTATACTATATACATCACAGATGGTAAACAGAAGTAATGTAGAGCAATGGATCCCTCCCACCACAAATTAATAAAAAGGAGATTTAAGTACCTTCTGTCTCTGCAGTTTTAAGGAGACTTTCTTGATAATTTTCAAATTTCTTTTTCATAAGGGGCGGTCTCAAGGAAAGAAGATAGAAGATGAGTTTATTAACATGGGCAAGGGGTACCTAGAGCCTTGTTCTGAGGAATGGAGAAACCATATGGGAGAAGTTTTCCCCAGACACATTTGGCTTGAGGTAGGTACCACTATTTCGAATTTACCAGCAACAGGAAATTATCTGTTATAATATGAAGCAACATTGGATTAAAGTGTTTGAGTAACATCAGAATAAAGTAAGTTCTTGAGTGAGTACAAAACTGGATTGTGAATATTCTGGCTTGTTGCAATTTGTGGCTAAAACACATGGTCATGTTTGCACTGCATTGGGCTAGCAAGGAGTGAAATGGCTGCTTATGAAATCTCTCACTCCTCCCTCACATTTCCCTTGGACTGAAAACAAGTCATGAAATCTTCACTCACCCCTCTGTGCTATTCCCTGTTCTTCCAGAGAAACACAGGAATTTCTCAAATTCCTCCCTTATTCCCCTTAGAAGAACTTGGGTCCTATCTCCCTTTCTCTCTTGCTGCAAGTCACCCAGACCATACACATACAAGCTGTCATTCACATGCTGAAACACACAGGACATCTCTAGTGCTGGTCAAAGTGTGGTTAACATTGAATTCAGACTCTGTTTCTCAGGGTGTCATCTTGTTGGGTCTTGAAAACAGCCAGTGATGGAGATTTCACAGCGTCTCTGGGGATCCTATTCCTTTGTCTTTGTTGAATTTCATAGTCTTCCTTCCTTAGCATATTGCTTCAGCCTGCCTATGTCCAGTGGAAGAGAAGCCCTGCACCTGAGCATACCAACTTCATCACCACAGTTTACTGTCATGTGCAAAACTGGAAGGGTTGCATGCTAGTTCCTCCTCCAGCTCACAGATAGATTAAATATTACAGGACCCAAGACTAACACCTGAGAGACTACACTTGTAACCAAAGTCCAGGTAAGTGTGAACCATTTGTGCTCTCTGTACCGTTCCTCTCTCCTAAGGGGTGCTTTCCTCACTAGACATGACAAAGCAGAGATGACATTTTGAGCAAAAGGCACTTTTGGAGGTACATTTTCCTGCAGCACCACACTGCCCTTAATCCTGACTTGGCAATTGGTTACCTGCACATCAATTGTGTACTCTTTCCCAGACCTAAGGCAGTGAACATCTGCATCCCACATCTCATTGAAAAGCTTAGAAAGTTCATGAAAGGCCTTCCTATCAAGAAATACAGAGGAATACATGTGTTAAAAAAAGGCACGTGCTGTTATTTCTGCAAGTCACTTCTAGAGTATTCTAATGCCACTCCATGTTCTGGATATCAGCCTGTCATCAAGTTTCTCTTTCTCCCCACGCCTTCCTGTCAGTGCCACTGCAAAAAGCACAATGCAGAAAAGGTCCACATATCTTTTTAAAGAATGCAGGTAACCTGTAAGGAAACCTGAGCCTTCCTTTAGATTGTCAGACAACAAAGTTCTTGTTGATAAGTCTTCTTGTGGTTTTCCATTCAATTAAATGAAAAGGAAGATGGTGATGTTTCATTCTCAAGGATTCTGCACACAAACCAGAGGTAAGCAGGAAATTGTTACCAGCATGCAGCAACACTGCCAACAGAACAGGAAGCAAAAAATTCTCTCTACGATGCTTTTCTAGCAGCAATCTTACAAACTCTTCCCTTTTTCCTTCAAGCAAGATTCCACACAGAATGTTTTCCTTTGCCATGTGATTATCCCAGCATAAAGGTAGTGGTGACAAAGGGCAAGTAAGGCTCTAAACACCATGTCTTCATTCAATAAAAATCCCTCATGCACTTATCTCTGATGCACATACCTGCCCAAGCTTCTCCTTCCCTTATTTTTAATGGAGTCCTGTCCTGCATATTAGTGTACAGTTTTCAGAAGTCTGTGCATTTGTCTATCAAGAAGATTTAGGAAGGGCTGTGTGTTGCTTTTGCATGGCCTGGTTTTTGGTAGTGGTGGGGAGAGCACAGAGGTGGCTTCTGTGGGAAGCTGCTAGAAGCTTCTGCTGTGTCCAGCACAGCCAATCCCTGATGGCTCTGACGATGAACATGTTGCTGGCCAAGCCTGGGCCAATGAGAGGTGATGGTAACACCTCTGTGATAACAAATTTAAGAAGAAAATAAACACAAAGTGGGCACAGTTCTTTTCCTAGTCGGAGAAGAGGAGGAAGTGAGAACATGTGAGGGAAACAACATGGAGACACCAAGGTCATGGAGAAGAGGGGGAGGAGGTGCTCCAGGAGCCAGAGCTGGGGTTCCTCTGCAGGCTGTGTTGAGACCATGGTGAGGCAGCTGTTCCCCTGCAGCCCATGGGGATCTATGGGGGATGCAGAGATCCACCCACAGCCCCTGGGAGAGGTGCTCATGCCAGAGCAGGTGGATGCCTGGAGGAGGCTGTGATCCAGTGGGAGACCCAGTGGAGAGAGGGGGACGTGCTTCCAGGCTGGAGCAACCTGTCCTTGGAGGACTGCACCTCATGGAAAGAGAGATCTACGTCACAGCAGTTTTGGGAGCACTGCTGCTCATGACATTCTAGTCACACTGGAGAAGTTCACAGAGAGCTGTCTCCCGTAGGAAGGAACCCCACGGTCTCACTTCCCTTCACGGGAAGGACTTCTCTCCCAGAGCAGTGGAAGATGATCTTGGGTGGTGAACTGACCAAACTCCCATACCCTGTCTCTCTGCATCCTTGGTGGGAAGGAGGGAGGAGCTGGGAGAAAAATTTTTAATGGCTTATTTTACTTCTCATTATCCTCCTCTGATTCTGTTAGTATTAAATTCACTTTGTACTTTTAAGCTAAGCCTATTTTGCCCTTGGAGTGTTTTCTCCTGGTCCTTATCTCAGCACATGAACCCTTCATTAATTTTTTTTCTTTCCTCTGCCCAACTGTGGCAGGGTAGGGCGAGTGAATGACCCTTGTGGGTGCCTGGCATTTGTCCAGCGTTGGCCAACACCACCACGACAGTTGTTGTTGTGATGAAGCACCCAGAGATAGCTCCAGTTTCAAGTACATTATGCCCACACTAAGAGGGAGGGGATCAAGACAACAGAGTGGAGAAAAAGAGAAGCGGATTTACCTTTAAATGACTGACAGTGGAATCAATCAGTTACAAAGCAGCACATGCATCAAAGCCCAGAGAATAACTGCTTGAAAATTTTGAATTCTTTTCCAAAAGAGATGTTTTCCAGAAAAGAAGTACAGAAATGTCTTAACAATTGGCATTTCTTTCAAATAGCTCTTGGGGCAACTTGCCATGATTTTAATAACTGGTTCTCCCAGATTGAACCAAGGCACCTTCAAGCCCAGCTCTAAACCTCTGATTGGTGTTACATTTTCTCCTTCTGCTCTGGCCAGGATGGAGATAACTCGCTGCATCCTCCTGCCAGTGGCAAATTCCATGCTCTCTAGAAGAAAGAGCAAACAAAGATTGTGGCAAGGGCAAGAGGGCAGGGCAGATAACTGTAACTAGGGCAGCTGCCACACCTCATCCTGCCTGTAACTCTGGATCTGAGCTGCTGTGTTCCTGAGCAACGCTGGAGGCACTGACAGTCCATTTTCCCTCGGGCTCACTGGTACTCTGGGATAGCTGTGGGTGGGAAACCTAAAAGATCACTTAAATTTTTAATTAGGCTTGAACAGGTGTCAATACCTTAAAAGAGGAAAAGGATTAAAAATTCTAGTATAAGAGCCAAAGGATATGTTTGTTGCCAGGGTTAAACAAGAATGTGAAGGAAGATTTGTGCCTGGAGCAGGTACTTGCATGGATCTGACAGTGGAGAAGAAGGAGGTTGTCACAGAGGAACTTCATTCAGCCCCTGCCCAAACCCCAGGCTCTGCTTGTACATAAATGGGGCTTGTGTTATCACCTCGTCAACAATGGCTGGGCAGCCCAAAGAAGGTCCCTGCTCAACGTCCCAGGGAGCTGCTTCAGAAGCCACCAACAGCACCAGTTTTATTTATTTTCAGCCATACTTCCAAATTCTTCCTGGAGTCTTACAAAGAGCAAGCCCTTCTCAAAAAAGCTTACAAACCAACACCAAACAGAAAACTACTCATTTCAGCAGCTCAGCTGAAGGCCCAAGGACAGGACTGGTGAGTTCAAAGAACAGTACTGGAGATGTTTTTCAAACTTCAAGCCTTTACCTTGGACTGTCTTAATTTTATTGGATCGCTTTTGTGCTGCATTCTGGACCCTCCTGCTGTCTGCTCCTCTGCATCAGCTTATCTTGTCTGTTTGAGAACCATCATATTATGTTTAACAGAGTTTTTACTTTGGAAGGAACTACTACTGGTAAAGAGGACTGCTGCCTGCTGAACATCCAAGGTATGTGGAACATTAGGGAGGGTGTCACTTGGGTTTTATTATAATATTTTGTTCCACAGATACAGTATTTTATATACCTCTTTTTTATATTTGTGTATTTTCATAACACTCACCTATCTAGGAGATATCTGTCTTCTCTTTAATACCCACTTGCTCTCGGTCTGCTCTTGGCAGATTTGTCCTGTGTTTATAAAGCATTGTAGGGCTCTGTTTGACCGTTCCTCCTTTAAAAATATGAAATATCACATGAGCCCAAGGTGTCTACTCAGGAGAGGGTTACAGCAAGAGTGTACCTACATATTTCAATCCTCATTTTTGTTCAATAAATATACTTCTACTAAACGTATTCCTGCATTCAGGAAACTTGTCCCAAAACTGAAATCACTAAATTTTACGAAGTAAAAGCCTTTACTCTCCTTTTTCTCTGCTAGGTGTTACCACAATATCATCATGGACTTTTCCTTTCCTTTTTTGTTGTCCCTTTAGTTTCCAAACAGATGGATGGATTTTGGACTTTGGAACAGATAGTTTCCAAACATCTGTTTATGCTGTAACTGAAGACTAGAAAAAATATACCCTTGCCAAAGTAAAATATTTGTCTAGTAACTTACACAGTCATCTTATAAAAACTTTCTGGGTAGTATTTCTTTAAGAAGGGCCATAAGCTTAGCTTACACATACAAGGTGAGACAGCTTCAATGAGAAGATGCTCAATACCTTTGTGCAAATCCATGACACACCATGCATGTAGGTAAGGTTGTCCTGGAAAACAGTATTGGCTATTTTCTTCCTGGTTTTCAACTCAATGGCATGGGTGACTCAAACCAGAGATTTTTATCATCAATTCTCAGTCTATTCCCTGGGGTGAAAGCTCTGAGTTGTTAGATTTATGCTTTCACATAGAATTAATTACTTCTGTGTGAGAAGTCTGGCCAATTGGATTTTGTCCAGTTGGAACCTTGTTTGGATGTGCTTGTTTGGATGAGCAAAGCACCACCCCAGTAACAATACTCAGTCTGCACTTTTAAGAGCTGGGAAAACCTGGCAGAGGCACTTTGCAATAGCAACTGATGCACCAGCAGTGTGTTTACAGCAAAATAATCTAACATCTGCATTTTATTCTTCATTCTACCCAAAACAATGCTCCAAGAAGACTTTATTGCTATAAATCAGAAATTACTCAAGACATTAAGAGAATTAAATCTCAGTGGCAAATAATGTGACCAAGTAAACAGTGCCAGAGCAAGAAAAACAGGTATTGCAAATGGGTCACATGCAGTCCTGCAAATAAGGTCAGATTGAACACTTTCTCCAAAATAAATTTACTTTTAGAGATCCTTTCAACGACATGCAATTTTATACACCCTTTAATATTTACATAGAGAAGAAAAAGATTTGGAATACCTGATGAGCAGCTGCAAGAAGTTTCCAATCATTTAAAAACTTGGTTCAAATGTTGTGAAAGACATGAAACAGCTTTTATGGCTAAGAGAAGATAGAAACAATTCTCTAGATTTTCATCTTATGCCAGTGTCTATGTTTTCTATTTTATTTATTTATTTTTTCATTGTATTTCTTTAAAGCTAGTATTTGAAATGCCAGAGGATAAATAAGGCAGGTTTTGTAGGTGGAAGGAAAAAGGCAATAAATATTAAGGGGCAAACATGAGAGTGGAACAATCTGCCAAGGTCCTGGGCAGGCAGCTGATGTTTGAAGAACTGATTCTAAGTTACCAGCTATGTTTAAGCGCAATCCGATTTTAGCATCACCTTTATTTTAAGCTACTGGTTCAGTAGCTTCACCGATGTTTTACACTACAGTGAGTCAGTAAAACAGAACAGAAAGAGGAAGAGGGTTCTTGCTCTGCTGCATGTCATGTAATATCCACCCTTTTACAAACATATATCCTGTCCCCCCCTACCCTTCCTGTAAGAGGAGAATTAGTATGATTGTCTCTTACCCACCTGCCATGCCAGGAAGAAGTTTTTCTCTTGGGAAATACTCTGAGCAGGGAGAAGGCAGCCAGAAGCTCAGCAATCCTCCTTTAATCCAAGGCATGGAGCAGTCCTCTTGCCTGCTGAGGACTGTCACTCAGCCTGACAAGAAGGCACAGGAGAGGCAGGAGGTGCCAATTCCCACAGAAGCCTAAGGACAACACGACAGCTCACACTGATCTCATCGCAGGAACACTCGCACCAGGAAGTCAGAGGCACCTGTAGCAGGCTCCTGCCTCACCTTCTCTTGTGTCATGGATTATTTGCCAAATAGATTTTATGTCTCTGGATGAAATTTGAGCCCATAAAGAAGCACTGCAAGTCTGAAAGCCTTGAAATGGACAGGGCATTCTAGTCTTGTTGTTCTGTATCCAGTTATTATTTGACAGTAGAAGGGAAGATGATAATTAATCTGAGATTCAAAAAAAGAAAGCATAAGTGGGGAAGAAAAGAAACCAAGCAAATGCTTCACTATTTACAGCTGAAACTCCTAAGTGTGATCTTGTGAATAGGTGTTATAACCTGGAAATGTTTTAGAAAGGCAGAATTTTGCATGTGTTGTTGGAAGCAAGTGGTAATGAGTGTTGGTAGGTGCAGGTACCCATTCCAGTGCCTGTCCTGGGAAGCTTGCTTTCATTATGTGACTAAATCAGCCTTCAGGTGGTTTAAAGCTTATTGTTGTTTGGTTGGTACTTGTAGCATTTTATTATTCATCATCACTAATTTCTGAAAAGCGTAGCTTTAGGTCTAAACTAGATATATGGATATAGAGAAGCCAGAATGGCTACCAGTCATGCTAGCTACCAGTCATACAAGTGATTCTGCACCTCTGGTCCATGTACCACTTCAATTTAGGGCCAAATAAAGCCCCTGGTGATGAAGACACCTGACACACAAAATTTCATAGGGAACAAGACATGCAGCCCACTTAAAACACTTAAAAGTGTTTCCTTCTGACATTAGAATGGGAAATTAAAGTATCTCAAAATTGAATATCCTTAATTTTAACAGAAATTTTATTTATCATTTTTGGTTAGTATTTGTTGCAGGTCAGAGTAAACAAGGTAAATGACAAATATCCAGTGCCCTGGATTTGCCAACTGCCCCAGTTTATCAGCTGAATGCAGGAATTCTTCTGTGCTTTAATTTAAAATACAAAAGCCAGTGGACACATTCTGCCAATAAGAAAGTTGCAATTTGTTTACACACATTAGCAGAAAGAGCCCAGATGGGAGCCCAGGGAATTTTCACTTACAAGCAGTATCATCACTGGAGTAAGTGGTTTTAAGTTAATCTTTAATAAAATTACATTTCAATAGCATCACCAGCAATTTCACAACCAGCTGTGTACTTGAATCTCTTAAAACTTCTGTCTTTTGATTTGGACACTGAGCTAAGAAAAATGCAAAGATCCAAGAGGAGATTAAAAGGAAACAAAGTACTGATCAAAGGCAAATTAGATCAGCACAGAATCTGGGTTATTCCCAGGTGTAATGCAGACAAACAGAGTGTGCAGAGAACACCCTTGGTATCTTAAAGGGTTGGCTTCCTCTGCAGCAGAGCCCAGCCAGTGCTTTGTCAAACCCATTGCACAGGGCAGCAAACATGGATTTTGTGCAAGAGTTGAGGCCAGGCTGCCTCTGTGCTCTGTTCCTCCTTTTTTTGTCACAAGGGAATGGGAGGAGTGTTTGGTGCTGTCTCACTCATACGTGACCAGTATTTCCAAAGGAAAGGGAAAGGAACTTGTGTAAGATGTTCTGCCTGACTAAACCACCACCTCAAGCATCAGATGCTGACCTTTGCTGACATAAAGGATCAAGGAGATCCTTGGGAATAAAACATGCTTCTAAAGCATGTAGATATCTCTGCGCATTTCTGGCCTTAATATCTTGC